GTCTTCAAAGTTCTGCTACTGAATTGTTCTGTTGTTGGATTCTTATATAATTTTCTCTCTTTCAAGTTTGTAGTGTAGCATTATTGATGATTCAATAGATTCTTTCATGCCCAACATTGATTACACTTTTGAAGATTTCAAGTCTATAGCTTGCCTTCTTGTCAGGGATAGCTCCCATATTCCTTGTTACATTTGTTGTTAGCTGTCTATTTAAAATACAGCTATTCCTGTAATTAACCTCTTTACTTCCACACGTTTGTTCTGCAGGCAGTATTAATTGCCTAACTGTCACAAGGCAGCAGATTATCAAGCAGTGTTATCTCCTCTCTCCCAGAAAATAGCACTTTTAAATTCCCCCCCGAAGAGATGGTTAACTTGCATGCTGCTTTTAACCCCTTTATAACAGCTTCTACTTATCCCTTTCAGATTGATAAACAGTTTATTCCAGACAGAATTATTGCTGATTCTTTTAATAATGATTTTAATCTTTTAATTTTAACTTAATCCTTTTAAGTTATTAAAGTTGTCAAGTTTATATTGTCACAATATTAAGGTATTCTTTCTTCTGATTCCAAAGGTTTTGTTTTTGAAAGAAAAGCCAAGACTAGAAAGGTTTGATAGGTAGCCATCAGCACATAGTCCTAACATCTTTTCTAAAGCCAGGCTTTCTAGCAACTAAGATCAATAAACTCCATTTCTTATTGCCTTAAAACCTTTATTTTGCTGCTTTTCCAAAGAAATTAGACTTTTTATAATTAGTAGGTGATCATAGCCCACATTTTATAGTTGACCTAATTGTCCAAGAAACCACATGTGATTCTTTCTTCCATGAAAATCTCTAGTTTAATCTAGAAAGTGCCCAAACAGTTCAATATCATTCAAGGTAAATATTTAAAATAATCTGCATAGATATGCTATGGCACAGCTCTAGAGCAGGTGGGACTTGAACCAAGGCCTCAGGATCAGAGATAGGGACAGTACTACAGCACCACAAGAGCCCTATCTTTCAGGGTAATTTCCTGGATCCAACTAACTTTAGCTGCTTCATCAATTAATTTCCTTCTATCATGAGATCAGCATTGGGGATGTTCCCTGATGATTGATTGTGCAATGTTTAGTGATATTTACAACTTCTCAGACACTGAAGAAATCTGCGCCTATATGCAGCAAGGACTGGACAATATCCAGGTGTGGGATGATAAGTGGCAATAACATTTGGATCACAAAAGCGCCAGCAAATGACTATGTCTGACAGGAGACAATGTAACTATCACCTCCTGATGTTAATGTCATTATCATCAATGAATCCTTCACTATCATCATCCTGGAGATTTTCATTGCCCAAAGTTGGAACTGGACTAGTTATGAAATACTGTGGCTACAAGAGCAGGTCAGAGGCAAGGAATTTTGCAGCAAGTAACTCACCTCCTCCTTCTCTAGTACCTGTCCATGATCAATCAAGCACATCAGGAGTGGAATGGAATACTCTCATTCGTCTGGATGGATGCAGCTCCAAAACTGAAGAATTAGGTCAATTTAGTTCATTTCATTGGCAGCAATCCACCACCTTCAACATTGACTCCCTTCATCACTGATGCACAGTGTGTACCATCTACAAAATGTACTGCAGTAACTCAACAAGGATCTTTTGACAGAACATTCAAACCTATATTCTCTGCAACCTAGAAGGACAAGGGCAGCAAAAAAATGCATATGAATACCTCAACCTGCAAGTTCCCCTCTAAGCCACATACCATCCTCATTTGGAACTATATCGCTGTGTTGCTATGTCAAATTCTGAGAATTTGCTTCCATTAAAGCATCGTACTTACCTAATACCCATACCCAATCAATTTCAAAAGTTCAAGAAGGCAACTCACTACCACCCTCTGAAAGGCAATCATGTTAAAGACCAGGCAAAACCCCCTTAAAACATGTTAAGGAGATAGCTTAGATCCTTTTTTTTTTGTTTTTAAGGCAAGTGCCAGCATTGTGTTCTGGATGCAATTTGATTAGATAAACTTCCAGGCTCGAAGCAAAACACACTTTATTCGTACATTATAGGTAAAATACAAACAAAAGAAATAAGGATTGGAAAAACTTAGCTCTATTAGAAAACTTAACAGAATGATAGATTATTTAGCTACTAAATAGCAACTGCTCCAAGATAGTAACATCCCATAACCGTACCCTTAGCAAAGACAAATTCAATAAAACAGATTGTCTCACATGCAATTCTAGCAGCAGGAAGAGAACCCCAGATTTTAGCTGTAACAAAGAGAGGAATAAGAGCTTCCACATCCAGCTTCAAGACTCCAGAAACTGCAGAAAGCTCAAACTAAAAGTCCTGGTTTTATGGAAACTTGACCACACCCACGCAGGCTGCTTCTATTGTTCCAAGTTTAAGAAAAAAAGGCCTCACAAGCTATTTACATTATTGGCTTTGAGCAGACCACTCAACACCTCTGTCTTAACCTTCCTGCATAAAAAGCAGGACAAAATACACCTCTTAAAGCCATAGTATCATCACAGTTAGGATGGGAAATAATTACTGCACTAGCCAGCTTTACACAAATCCCATGTATTAACTTTAAAAAAAAGCAAAGGGAGGGACAGGGAGTACTGATGGAGAGAATTGAGAAGGGAGAGAAAGAAAGGAGAAAGATTTAGAGAGAGGATCACAAGGAGAGAGGGGAGAAGGGAGATAGAGGAAGGCAGAGCGAAGGCTGGAGAGATAGATAATGCAGAGAGAAAGAAGTGGTAAGGGGAAAGGCTTAGAGACATACATACACTAGGAGAGAGAGAGAGAGAGAGACCAAGAAGAGAGAGAGGGAGACAGAAATGAGAAACAGACAAAGTAAATCAGATAGATTGAAAGAACTGAAAGGAGTAGACCCAACACCTCATCTTTACCATGGACGTCCAGTCCCTCTACACCTGCATTCCCCATGCAGATGGCCTTAAGGCCCTCCGCTTCTTCCTGTCCCGCAGGCCCGACCAGTCCCCCTCCACTGATACCCTCATCCGCTTAGCCGAACTCGTCCTCACACTCAACAACTTCTCTTTCAATTCCTCCCACTTCCTACAGACAAAGGGGGTAGCCATGGGTACCCGCATGGGCCCAAGCTATGCCTGCCTCTTTGTAGGTTACGTGGAACAATCCCTCTTCCGTACCTACACCGGCCCTAAACCCCACCTCTTCCTCCGTTACATTGATGACTGTATCGGCACCACCTCGTGCTCCCACGAGGAGCTCGAACAGTTCATCCACTTCACCAACACCTTCCACCCCAACCTTAAGTTTACCTGGACCATCTCTAACACCTCTCTCCCCTTCCTGGACCTCTCTGTCTCCGTATCGGGCAACCACCTAGAAACCGATATTCATTTCAAGCCCACCGACTCCCACAGCTACCTAGAATACTCCTCCTCCCACCCACCTTCCTGCAAAAATGCTATCCCCTATTCCCAATTCCTTCGCCTCCGCCGCATCTGCTCCCAGGATGAGGCATTCCACTCCCGTACATCTCAGTTGTCCTCGTTTTTCAAGGACCGTAACTTCCCCCCCTCGGTGGTCGAGAACGCCCTCAACCGTGTCTCCCACATCTCCCGCACCTCATCCCTCACACCCCGTCCATGCAATAAGAACCAAAAAAGAATTCCCCTCGTCCTCACGTACCACCCCACCAACCTCCGGATCCAACGCATCATCCTCCGACACTTCCGCCATCTGCAATCCGACCCCACCCTTATCTGCTTTTCGGAGGGACCACTCTCTCCGTGACTCCCTTGTCCGCTCCACACTCCCCTCCAGCTCCACCACACCCGGCACTTTTCCCTGCAACCGCAGGAAGTGCTACACCTGCCCCCATCCCTCCTCCCTCACCCCCATCCCAGGCCCCAAGAAGACTTTCCACATCAAGCAGATGTTCACCTGCACATCTGCCAATGTGGTATACTGCATCCGCTGTACCCGGTGTGGCTTCCTCTACATCGGGGAAACCAAACGGAGGCTTGGGGACCGCTTTGCAGAACACCTACGTTCGGTTCGCAATAAACAACTGCACCTCCCAGTCGCGAACCATTTCAACTCCCCCTCCCATTCCTCAGACGACATGTCCATGCTGGGCCTCCTGCAGTGCCACAACGATGCCACCCGAAGGTTGCAGGAACAGCAACTCATATTCCGCTTGGGAACCCTGCAGCCCAATGGTATCAATGTGGATTTCACAAGTTTCAAAATCTCCCCTCCCCCTACCGCATCCCAAAACCAGTCCAGCTCGTCCCTGCCTCCCTAACCTGTTCTTCCTCCCACCTATCCCCTCCACCCACCTCAAGCCGCACCTCCATCTCCTACCGACCAACCTCATCCCGCCCCCTTGACTTGTCCGTCCTCCCTGGACTGACCTATCCCCTTCCTAACTCCCTATCTACACTCACCTTTACTGGCTCCATCCCCGCCTCTTCGATCTGTTTGTTTCCTCTCCACCTATCCTCTCCTCTATCCATCTTCTATCCGCCTCCCACTCTCTCCCTATTTATTTCAGAACCCCCTTCCCCTCCCCCTTTTCTGATGAAGGGACTAGGTCCGAAACGTCAGCCTCTCTGCTCCTATGATGCTGCTTGGCCTGCTGTGTTCATCCAGCCCTGCACCTTGTTGTCTCGGATTCTCCAGCATCTGCAGTTCCTACTATCTCGGAGTAGAGAATGGGTTATTTTGGCGCAGGGATAGTATCTGTATTTCTGAACCAGGAGGCCCATATTCAAGTCCCACTGCTCCAGATTGTGTAGTAACATCTCCAAACATGTTGATTAGAAAGTCACTAAAAAGATGGAGTGGTGGGTGTCTTGATGGGATGCAGCGTGCAGGTGCAATTTTGACAAGCTTGTGACGATGTAATGTTGGGGCGGAGTGTAAGGAGGGGTGATGTATGAGTGTGAAATTCTGGGATGCAGTGTAGTGGTGGAATGCTCCTGCACAGTCGTGGGACGGATGTAACAAATCAATGACGGGTAATATTCCCAGAATGCGCTGCGCCGCGGAAACCCTTCTATCTGGGTGGAGGCTTTCCGCAGCAGCACAAAAGGCGGCGGCGGCGGTAGCGGAGTTGAAGGTGAGATTGGGTCGGTATTTGACGTTTTAGCTGAAAAGCATGGGCCTGATAGCCTTGGACAGGCGGCGGCTCCGAGTTCGGCTTTGCACTCACTGAGGAGGCCGAGACTTTGTTTTGGCGGCCCTTTTAGAAATGGAGAAGCCGATTCTGTATAAGCGGAGCCCGAGGTTTCAGCCAGGCCTTCAGGAAACCGACTAGATCCGGAACTAGTTACCCCAGAGTGGGATATCTGAGGGTGATTTACCCTAGAGTTGGGGTATTTGAAATGAGATTTACCCCAGAGTGGGGAATGTGAAGAAGAGTTTCCCCATAGTGGAGTATCTGAAGGACATTTACCTCTAGGGTATTTGAAGGATATTTGCTCCATAGTGGGGGTATTTGAGGAGCATTTAACTTAGTAGGGTATTTGAGGGGCATTTACCCCATAGTCGGATATCTGAGTTGGATGTGTAGATTAGGTGTGTTATAAGGGGAAAGGTCTGGGTGGGATGCTCCGAGGGTCAGTGTGGACTTGTTGGGCTGAAGGGCGTGTTTCTAGGGATCCTATGATCTGAGGGAGATTTACCCCAGAGTGGAATTTCTAAGGACTACTTACTCTAGAATATGGAATCCGAGGCACACGGGGATGTTTGCTGATGACTGCAAAATGTTCAACACCATTTGCAACTCTTCCGGTACTGATGCAAACCGTTTCCAAATACAGCAAGACCTGCACAATATCTAGTTTTAGGCTGACAAGGAGCAAGTAATATTCGTGCCACACAAGTGCAAGGAAATTGCCGTATCCAACAACAGACAGTCTTCCTCTTGCCCCTTCACATTCAATAGCTTTACTGTCACTATCAACATCCTGGGGCTCACTACTGACTGAAGTTGAACTGGACTTACCATATAAGTACTGTGCCTACAGGAGCAAGTCAGAGGCTAGGAATCCTTTTTTAAAAATTAATTTATGGGGTGTGGGCATTGTTAGGTCAACCAGCATTTATTTCTCATCTCTAGTTGCCCTTGAGAAGGTGGTAGTGCCTTCTTGTAGTCCATGTGCAGCTCCGCAATCCCAAAGCCTGTCGACAAGGCAGGAGTGTGATGGAGTACTCACTGCCTGGATGAGTGCAGCTCCAACAACACTTGAAGCTTGACATATTCAGGACAAAGCAGCTTGCTTGATTCGTACTGCATCCACAAACATCCACTACCTTAATCACTGACACTCAGTAGAAGCAATATGTATGAATTACAATATGTACTGCAGAAATTCACCAAAGATCCTGAGATAGTACCTTCCAAACTACCTTGAAGGACAAAGGTAGCAGATCCATAGGAACATCATATTCCCTCAAAGCCATCACAGCACTGACTTAGAACGGTATCGCTGTTCCATCAATATTACTAGATCAAAATCCTAATACTGTGTTCCTAATGATTGCAATGGTTCAAGAATGCAAAGAATCATAGACACCTACAGCACAGAAAAAGCCCCTTGAGTCTGCACTGATCAAAAACAATCATCTAATTATTCTAATCCCATTTTACAGTGCGTGGCCAATAGCCTTGTATGCCTTGCCTTTGCAATTGTACATTTCAATACTTCTAAAAAATTATTATGATGGTTTCTGCCTCAACCACCCTTATAGACCATGAGATCCAGATTTCCACCATCATCTGGGTGAAAAACGTTTTCCTCAAATCCCCTCTATATCTTCTGTCCCCTATCTTAAACGTATGCCCTCTGCTCATTGATCCCTTCACAAAGGGACAATTTTCTTCCTGTCTAGCATGTATATGCCCCTCATAATTTTATACATATCAATCATGACACCCCTGAGTCTCTTCTGCTGCAAGGAAAACAACCGCAGTCTGTCCAATCTCTCTTCATAACTAAAACTCTCCAGCCCATAAAATTATGTGGTGCATATATCGGGTTGCCAGGAAGAAACTTTTCTTCTTGATAGAGATATCAATGACAAGGGGACATAGATTGAAGGTAAGTGGCAGAGGTTTAGAGGAGATATGAGGAAAATCTTTTTCATCTCGAGCGTGGTGGGAATTTGGAACTCTCTGCTTGTAAGGGTGGCTGAGGCAGAAACTTATGACATTTAAGAAGTATATAGATGTGCACTTGTGATGCTAAGGTGTACAAGGCTATGGGCAAAGTGCTGGAATTAGTTAGGTGTTTGCTTTTGACTGTGCAGATATGATGGGCTGAAAGGCATGCGATAGGGTTAACCCTAACCCTATCGCAGTTGTGGGTCTCTCTAACTCTATGATTAAACGCACACATACTTGGGCTGTGTCTCACTCAGGATGTGCTCTGTTCCAACTGCTTGTGTGAAGTATACTGCCCCTCACCACCATCTTAAGGGCAATAGGGATGGGCAGTAAATGCTGGTTCAGTCAGCGATGTCCCCAGTGAGGCTAATGAGGCTTTAATTAAAGAGTAAGGAAGTCTTAGTGCAATTGTAGAGGCTTTTGGTGAGAATTTTGGTCTCCTATGAAAAGATATACTTTCCTAATAGGAATGCAACTAAGTTTCACCAGACTGATTCCTGGGATGGCAGTTTTGTCATATGATGAGTTTAGGCCAAGTCACTGAATATTTAATAAGGTAGACTAGATAGACTTCTTGAAGTTAAAGGTGTTGAGGGATATGGGGAGAGAGCAGGAGTATGGTGTTGAGCTAGAAGATCAGCCATGATCATGTTCAATGATGGAGTGGACTCAATGAACTGAATTCCTGCTTCTATTTTTTATGTCACTGTGAAGTGCCTAGATCCCTTTGTCTGTCAACATCATATGTAAATATGACATTGCACTGGTTTTGATGGTGTTCTTCTAGAATTGGGTTCATGCTGTCTATGACTGCAGTTCATTTTAAATGTAATTTGCAGCACAATGTTAATCAGTTCTTTTCAGTAATTGTGCTGGGTGTATATTAATCTATTATCACTATTAATCTTTTTTTTGTCCTCTTACCGCCTTCTCACTCGCTCTTACGTTATCGAACAGGTCATTCTTTTTGAACATCCTGGTTAAATGGAGATGAATGTGCAGACATGCGAGGTTTCCCCACTGGAAGAATGTGGATCACCTTCACAGGGTCAGGGTCCTTCAGATTCCCAGAAGCAAAACCGGTACCGGTGTTCAGTGTGTGGAAAGGGTTTTACTTACCCATCGCATTTGGAGGTGCATTTCCGAGTTCATACTGGGGAGAGACCATTTGAATGTCCTGTGTGTCAGAAGGGATTTTTCAAAGTTACTTACCTAACACGACACCAGCGCATTCATACAGGAGATAAGCCATTTCAGTGCAGTTTGTGTGAGAAGCGATTTTATCGGTCCTTTGAAGTAACAAGGCATCAGCAGACACATGGTGGAGAGAAACCGTTTGAATGTCATGTGTGTAAAAGGCGATTTTATACATCTGGTAACATGATGCAGCATTTGCGAGTTCACACTGGAGAGAAACCGTTTGAGTGTACTCTGTGTAAAATGCGATTCTCCAGATCCAGCAACTTGATTGAACATCTGCGCACTCACACCACTGAGAAGCCCTTTGAATGTGCCTTGTGCAAAAAATTGTTTCGAAACTCTGGTGGACTGGCAAAGCATCAGTATTTGCATAGTGGCTTGAAACCGTTTCAGTGCCAGGTGTGTGGAAAGGGCTTTGTGCAGCAGACTCATTTGATGAAGCATCAGAGTTCTCATAATCAAGAAAAGATTTGAAACCAATGGCACACAGAAAGGAAATGCATAGTTAACACAAATTGTACATTAATATTCAGTGGCATACAAAAAAAAGACTGACTGACCTGAATGCAGTTGGAGAGACACGTGCATCGAAATGCACATGTCTATACAGATGAACACACATAAATTGGATATGGACTCATGCACATACAGCACACATACACATGGATACTGTAACAAAGACGTAGGCAACATCTAAAATTTTGGGGAAGGGTTGGACTTGGGGGAGTTTCATTTGACTGGGAGGTAGAACTCAGAAATACTGCAGCACCTAGGAAGGCCATTCTACTCTTTGTCTCTGCCAGGTCTTTGGTAATTCTATTCAATCAGTTTCTGCACATTGTCAGCCAGACCTTTCCCCCATTATTTTATGCTTCTTTGAGGGGGACAATGTCTTGTTAACATTTTTGATTTGCATTTTAGGATTTTAAAGCTGCACAATTCAACTTTCCCAGTCGATGTGGGGATTATATCCATGATATGTGCATGTTTTTTAAATTTTATTCATACATGGGATGAAAATGCTGCTGGTTAGGCCAGCATTTTTTGCCCATCCCTTTTTGCTCAGAGCGCAGTTAAAAGTCAACCACATTGCTGTATGTCTGAAGTCACATTTCGGCCAGACCAGGTAAGGATGGTAGTTTCCTTCCCGAAAGGACATTAGTGAACAAAATGGGTCTTTCCTGACAATCGATGATGGAATCATCGTCAACATTAGGTTTCCAGATTTTTTTAAAAATTCAAATTCCACCGTCTTCTGTGGTGGGATTCAAACCTAGGCCCCAGAACATTATCTGGGTCTCTGGAATAACAGTCCAGCGATAATACCACTAGGCCATCACCTTCACTGAGGCTGACATTTATTGTCCATCCTAGTTGCCTTGAAGGTGTTGGTGGGCCCACCATCTATCAATCATAGTTCTGTTTTCATAAGTCTTATTTGACTACTTCAGAGGAGACTTGAAGTTCAGTCATATTTCTGAAGTCATTTGGGCTATATTTAGAAATGACAGGATTCTTCCCTTGAAGGACCGTCATGAACCAGCTGGTTTTTATAAATGACAATCCAATGGCTTCATGCTTTCAATTATTGATATCAATTTGTTACGAAGGTACAAGCTATAGCACAGTTAGTGTTATTCTGACCTCTGAGTCAAAAGGTTGTGCAATCGAGTCCTACTCCAGACCAGGATAGTCCTTATGGAGGACTGAAGGAATGGTGCACTGTTGGAGGATAAACTATGCTTTGATATGTCTGCTTGGGTGAATGGCCTTATTGGAACAAGTGGCTTGCAGGGGAATTGTCTCTGATAAACGTTGACCAAGACACCAACTGGTCATTATTAAAAACCAGATTATCTGTTTGTGGGAGTTTTCTTTACCCAATTTGGCTGTGCGTTCCCTACAATTACAGCACTTCAAAAACACATAATTAGTTTTGGAGTTCTTTCAGACATTCTGAACTCATGAAAGGCAAACTCTTTCTTCACTTCCAGACTCTAGAGTTCTCAGACTGTAATTGTGAGATTTGAACTCAAAGTTCCTACATTGCTAGTCCAGGAACGTGACTACATCACATTTACCATAATCAACTATACAGAGATGTGATCAAAAGGAAATGTGTATTGTTTGTTTCTAACTGTCACAATTCGGTGCAAGGCAAATTTCTTAAGTTTCCCTTTGTTAAATAAAACTTTAATCAGAAACCCAAACTTTGGCAATTAACAGAAATTTCAGCAGTGCTGGATATTGGCTGTAACTTTAGACAAATGTTGTCAACCAAAGCAGACAACAGAAAGAACAACGGGAAGTTTATTTTTAGTTATTAAAAATCAGTGAGTTCATTTTTATTTAATCAAAATTAAACTTTATAATCTGCATGTTCACCTGTATCACCAGTAACACTATACAAATTATCTAACGTGAGTTATTTTCTTTGTAATAAGTTTCTGCATTGTACACTAAAATAAATTAGTTATATATATGAATCTGTGTTACTATTTTTAAACTTGCATTAAGAAAAAAAATTTGTCATGTGAATGTGCCTCCTTTCACATAGTAATTTTTGGTGTAACTGATCTTTGTGCTTTATATGCGAATCCTCTTGTCTTTCTCCATCCAAACCTATCTCTCCCAAAGCATATCTTTCTATTTCTTGGTATGTTTAGCTAGATTTCCCATAAATGCATCTATGGAATTCTACTCAATTATTCCTTATGGTAGCAAATTCCACATTCTAACAGTGTTCTGGTTAAAGGAGTTTTTTCCAATTTTCTATTGGAATTGTTAGTGACTAAGTTGTTATTGCAACTGAATAAAAGCAAAATACTGGAGAAAAATGGTACCAGACTCCAAACATTAACACTGTTTTTGTGTCTATAGATGTTGCCAGAGCTGCTGAATTTTTCCAACATTCTGTGTTTGTTATTATTATTGGAAACATTTCCTCCACAACTACACTGTTAAACTTTTTCATAATTGTGAAAGTCTGTTTCTGCTCACTCCAAATGTATTTCTGATAGAAAGAACCTTAGTCTGTCCAATCTTTTCTAATGTTGTATCAGTTCTGATATCATACTGATAAATATTTTTGGCACCCTTCTGTATTGTAGAATGATACAACCTAGATTTGACCAGTGTTGGTTCTTTGATAACCTTTAGTCTACTCTCCTCTGCTTTCTGTTGACCTGCAATGTTTTGTGGTTAGCTCTGCTGCCTCATAGCAGCAGGGTCCCAGGCTCGACTGCCGCCCTGGGAGACTGTCTGTTAGCATATTCTCCCCATGTCTGAGTGGAGTTCCTCCTGTTGTTCTGGTTTCTTCTCACAATCCACAGATGTGCAGATTAGGTGGGTTGGCCGTGATAAATTACCCATAGTGTCCAGGGATGTACAGGCTAGGTGGATTAGCCATGGGAAATGCAGGGTTACAGGGATAGGGTGGAGGGGTGGGTCTAGGTGGGATGCTCTTTGAAGGGTTTGTGTGGACTTGATGGGCTGAATGGCCTGCTTCTGCACGAGGAATTCAATGATCTTACATAATTTCTTTTTGGAAAGTTTTATTGATTCTGCTTCTCAGCAGTACATTTGTAACAACACTCTACTTAATGGCTTTTTACCATCTCACCTCTAGTTTTACCAGTGGCCTTAAATACGTGCCCTCCTATTACAAAGTCTTCTGTGACGGGAAACAGTTTCTCCTTACTCAGTCTATGAAAACCCTCCAGGTGTATCCTTTTATTAATACAAAAGCCAGACCTGTGCATCGTACTTACATATATGACCAAACCATGATTATGTACAGTTTTAGCATTCCTTTTACAAAGAACAGTACAGGAAAGAAACAGCACATGGCAGGTTGATGAGCAAATTAGAAATGTTTTTGGATTGATGTGTCCTTGGCAGAATGGATTAGAAGTTGGCTAAAAGCTAGGAAACAGAAGGTAGATAGAGATGGGCATTTCTCAGGCTGGATGCAAGTTGAAAGTGGTGCTCCCCAGGAATTGTTGTTGGGACCCTTTTTCTGATTTATATAAACAATCTGGAGGTGGGTGTTGAGGGCAAAATCTTCAAATTTGCAGATAATACTATGATGGGGAGCACAATGAATTGAGAGGATGATGCTGAGTGACTCAGAGGGACATTGACAAGTTGACCAAATGAGAAGACACTTGACAGATTAATTTCAACGTGGAGAAATGTGAGGTAATACATGTTGGTAGAAGAAACATTGAGATACAATATAGACTCAATGATATAACTTTGAGGGGACCACAGGAGCAGAGGGACATAGGGGTTCAAGTCTCTGAAGGTGGCCAGGCAAGTTGAAACAGTTGTTAAGAAAGTTTTGTAGGTTTATAAATAGAGGCATAGAGTATAAAAGCAAGGAAGTAATACGACTCAGATCATTGATCAGACATTGTGTTCAGTTCTGAGCACCTTATTTAAGGAATGATGTTAAAGTCCTGGAGAGTGTGCAAAGGAGATTTACTAGCACGAAACCAAGAATGAGGGATTTAATATACAAAGAAAAATTAGAGAAATTGGGTCTATTCTCCTTGGAGCAGCGAAGATTAAGAGGTGATCTTATTGAGGTGTTCAAAATTATGAACAATTTTAACAGGATAAAGAAGCATATTCTGTTTCCACTGGTTGATATGTCAGTAACTAGGAGTAACAATTTTAAGATTGTCAGCAAAAGAGTTGGGAATCAAATGAGCAAATCTTCTTTACTCTGAAAATTGTGAGGATTTGGAATGCGCTGCCTGGAGAGTAGTGGATTCCATAGGATATTTTAAAATAGAGCTGTGTGTTTATATGTTTGGAAATGATGAAATTACAGTGATATAGAGAAGAATGGGACTAGTTCGGTAGTTTGCAAGCCAGTGCAGACATGATGGGCCAAATGGCCTCCTTCTAATGTAAAATTCTATGGTAGAGAGAGAACAAAGAACAATACAGCATGAGAACAGGCCCTTCAGCCCTCCAAGCCTGCGCTGACTCATTTTGCCTTCCCATACTAAAACTATCTTCGCTTTCAAGATCCTCTATTCCCTTCCTATTCATGTATTTGTGCAGGTGCTTCTTCAATGCTGCTATTGTGTCTGTTTCCACCACCACCTCTGGCAACACGTTCCATGCACTCATCACCCTTTGTGTGAAGAACGTACTTTGTATATCTCTTTTAAACATTCCCTCTCGCATCTTGAACCTGTGTACCCCAGTACTTTACCCCTCTACCCTGGGGAAAAAGCCTCATACTTTCCACTCTATCCATGCCTTTCATAATCTTATAAACTTCTTTGAAGTCGCCCCTCAACTTCCTGCATTCCAGTGAAAACAAACCCTGTCTATCCAACCTTTCTTCACAGCTGGAATCCCCCACACCAGGCAACATCTGGCAAAATTTTTCTGTACCCTCTCCAAAGCATCCATATCCTTTTGGTAGTGTGGTGACCAGAACTGTACACAATATTCCAAGTGTGGCCTAACTAAAGTTCTATTAAGATGCAGCATAATTTACCTATCCCTTGGCATATCAATGCTCCTAAGGGTTTGCCATTCACTGTATAATTTCCACCTGTACTTTCCAAAATGCATCACCTCACATTTGTCTGGATTAAACTCCATCTGCCATTTTTCTGGCCATACTTCCAACTGATCTATATCCTGCTGTATCCTCTGACAATCGTCTTCACTATCCACAACTTCACCAATCTTTGATCCATCTGCAAACTTACTAATCAGATCAGCTAGGTTTTCCTCCAGATCATTTATGTAGACCACGAATAGTGGAAGTCCTAGCACTGATCCCTGTGGAACACCACTAGTCACAACCCTCCATTCCAAAAAGCATCCTTCCACCACTACCCTCTGTCTCCTATGACTAAGCCAGTTCTGTATCCATCTTGCCAGCTCACCCGCTACCCTGTGACTTCACCTTTCATACCAGTCTACCCTGAGGGACATTGTCAAAGGCTTTATTGAAGTCCGTGTAGACAACATTAACTGCTTTTCCCTTGTTAATTGTCTTCATCACCTTCTCAAAATACTTAATCAAATTAGTGAGGCACAACCTTTCCTGCACAAAACCATAGAGGGATCAGATAGAAAGGGCAGTACAGATTTGGTTTGAAAATAAAACAGAATGGAAGAGGGCAGAGTAATAGATACTGGAAAGGTGCAAAAGTCACAGGGTTATAGTCATGGGTGACTTCAACTTTCCAAATATTGATTGGAAATATTTTAGTTGTAATAGTTTAGATTGAGCGGATTTTGTCCAGTGCATTCAGGAAGGATTCCTGACACAGTGTGTAGATAGACCAACATGAGGAGAGGCCACTTTGGATTTGGTGCTTGACAATGATCCAGGCCAAGCGTTAGACCTGTTAGTAGGAGACGATTTTGGCGGTAGCAATCATAACTCTGTTACTTTTACAATAGTCATGGAAAAGGATAGGTACATACAGCAGGGTAAGGTTTACAATTGGGGGAAGGGTAATTACAATTCTGTTAGGGAAGAACTGGGTAACATAAATTGGGAACAGATGCTGTCAGGGAAGAGCACTATTGAAATGTGGAGATTGTTTAAAGAATGCATACTGCGTGTGCTCAATATGTTTGTCCCTAGCAGGCAGGGAAAATGCGGTCGAGTGAGGGAGCCTTGGTTCTCTAGAGAGGTCGAATGTGTGGTTAAGAGGAAGAAGGATGCTTATGTAAGGTTTAGGAAACAAGGAATGGAAAAGGCTCTAGCAGGATACAAGTTATCCAGGACGGAGCTGAAGAAAGAGCTTAGGAGATCTATAAGGGGGCATGAGAAAACCTTGGCAGATAGTATCAAGGAAAATTCCAAGGCTTTTTACATGTACGTGAGGAATAAGAGAATGACCAGAGAAAGGGTAGGGCTGATCAAGGGTTGAAAAGGGAATTTGTACACGGAGCCCAAAGAAATAGGAGAGGTCCTTAATGAATACTTTTCTTCAGTATTCACAACTCAGAGGGACCTAGTTGTAGAGGAGGACAGTGTGGAACAGGCTGGTAGGCTAGAGGAGGTCGATGTTAGTAAGGAAGATGTGCTAGGAATTTTGAGGAAGTTGAAGATAGATAAGTTCCCCGGGCCTGATGGGATTTATCCAAGGATCCTATGGGAAGCGAGTGAAGAGATTGCAGGGCCTTTGGCGATGACCTTTTCGTCCTCACTGTCCACAGGAATAGTGCCGGAAGATTGAAGAGAGGCAAACGTCATTCCCTAGTTCAAAAAAGGGAATAGGGATAACCCCGGAAATTACAGGCCAGTTAGTCTTACATCAGTGGTGGGCAAATTATTGGTTAGTGCTCTGAGAGATAGGATTTATGATCACTTGGAAAGGCACAGTTTGATTCGTGATAGTCAGCATGGATTTGTGAAGGGTAGATCATGCCTCACAAACCTTATTGAATTCTTTGAAGAGGTGACCAAACACGTGGATGAAGGTAGAGCAGTGGATGTGGT